TTTTAAGTTACGTCATTTAACACCTTTGACCGTATTAAATTAAAAGTTATAATACGTTCAATCGTGTCAAATAATTTACGTGATTTAAAACGGCAAAAAATGTGTCAGAAGAGTTTTAGCTAAATAACACATTTGCATTTGCAGTGCATCTATATATCTATGTCAGTGAGATATAATTCCAACAAGTTCAGATTAACTCATTCAGTTAACTGAATATATCGCAGGTCTATTATTTTCGTTCCAAATATAAAATCTTCTTACACTCGAATACAGTAAAATATATGACAAAAGAATTAGTCTCTGCTTTTGTAGCATTAATAAATTTAATTAAATCAAGTTAATTAGTGAATAAAGGAAGGGAATGTCACATATAAATATATATTGAGTACAGAAGATATAAAAGACATTGGTCAAACTTTATAATAAAATTGATTTGCTGTTAAATAAATATTAAAATTAAAAATAAGAGAAATTCCTCTTGCATTTTTAATTTAAATAAGAGAGAGAAATAAGAAAACTAATAATACTGTGATAAAAAAGTGGGAGGTCCAAAAAAGAGATACTGTAGAAAAAGCGGTGGAAAAAATGTTACAAAAAGAAGTCCACGTAGAAATTAAAGCAAATTCTGAACAAGAAGAGGAACAAATATGATTACAGAGAAACTGAAAAGTAAGGAACAGAAAAGGACAGTTATGGTTAAAAAGAAGATCTTAAAGGAGAAAAATATTGACAGTGACCTAACTTGGAAGGTAAGACAGATATAAAGGCAAATATACAATAATTGAAAGAAAGTTTGCATGGAAAATAGAGGGTGTTTAAAAAAACTAAATTTTTGAAGCAGGCAGAGTTCTGCTGGCTCATAAATAAGCGAAAAGAGGCTGTTAATGCGGCTGTTCCTACGGGCTACATGTCGGCGAAGCTACTATATTATTATTAGGTAAATATAATATTTTTTTTTATTCAATAATACTATTATTTAATAAAATACTATATATATAAAATATTATATAAAATATTATATAATATATTATATAAAATATTATATAAAATACTATATCGAAGTAAAACATGTATTGACATGTCGGGGCATGTTAAATTTAATTAAATTTATATAATCTTATTGTATCCAAAAAGTAGGTATATATGGTATATTATTATGGTTCATTCTAGTAGATTTTTTCAAAATATGGAAAATTGCTTTAAAACAATGTCTTTCTAAATTTAATTTTAAAATATATATTTATACATATAACTAAATATATAAGTCTGTCTTGTCTATATATAGAAAGATCTCTACGAAACTCTTAGCTCCAAATTTTTTTTTATAATGCACTGCCTCTTAATTCGAGGCAAATAATCGTGACGTAATAAGTGCAAAACACTAATCTTTTATCTTTAATTGCAAAAATATATATAATAAAAGTAATATAGATGTTTCGTGTATGTTATTGGTGTTAGAAATCTCCGACTATAGAAATAAAGATACAAGTCTATTCGATTCCACTAAAAGACTAAAGGTCTCCGTACAATAAAAAATATAAGAAACAGATATTAGCGATTAGAGCTAAAGAATCAAGAATAAAGTTGAATGCACGATGAAAAATATAGGCAACAGAAACAGGGAATAACACAGACAATAGATTTTTAATCTATCGGAAGCCGTGCATTAATGCTACACCAGCTTTATTCCTTTAATTTCTTATTTCTAATCGTTAATATCTGTTCCTTGTTCCTTATATTTTTCATTGTGCGGAGACCTTAAAAATTGTCTAAAGCGACGTTATCGCAAATATCGCACATACATGCGTGCCACAGCTATGTCATTGATAATTGATTGAAGGAAAGAGGCAAAGAGTGGGGTCACAGATTTCCGTTCACGTTCAACAAGATAACGCTACAGCAGTCTGTTCTGTGCCGGTTTGAACGGAGATAATGCTGTCATTTCGTGTGCTTTGATTGCATCGGTAATTCGATTGTCAGTGACTGATTTGACAAGAGGCTTGCGACAAAATCTGTTCTTTTTAATAAAAACGAGCGTTGCGCACTTCCGAAATATAATACATATGTACAACATATTTTCGGATCGCACTGTATTTACATTCGCTTTAATATGCAGCTTGATTTGCTGATAGATTTGGCACATTCAGCACATATGAAGAAGCCGATCGAGGCGTTATCATTCAAATTAAATAGGATAATACTTATTGTGCGAAAAGGAATATCATGCATGTGATACCAGTTTTTAGTCTCCGCTTTTCTGTTCTTTTCCTCGTTTTGCTTCTGCGAGCAAGAACGAGCGCCTTCTACAATTCCACATTCAAGGCGCGTCTTTCAGCAGCCGTATGGCGTTATCGCTGAAGTCAGTACACTGTCTGACAGTGTCGTAGGATCAATGAAAATAGCCGATAGTGATTTGAACCGAGTCCGTTCTTGTTCGGATTGTACTTTGTTCCCGCGGGACGGTGCATCCTCCAACTGCAGGTGGTGCATGTCAATGCGACGTGTTGAAAACCGTTAGGGCCAGATCAAGTAAAGTTTTCCTGCCGCGGAGCGCTTTCCACAATGACAGCACCATGTCGTCATAGATCAATGGTGATTTTAGTGTTGACAAAGTGACCGCCGCCAGATGATAATTTGCGCAAGATAATCCTAAATATAAGTCAGTTAATTTTTTAATTCAGCGGATTGTTGCCGACCGGTTGGGTCAATTTAAAATATTAAGGTGCATTCAGGAATTACGCCCAGGCACACCTAAGTAATTCTAATGCTATAATATACGTGACGTAAATTATAGCTTAGTTACCCAGGTTGAATTTCTGAACGCAGCCTTGACGTTTCTCGAGCTTGTTTTTCATTTTATTTTCGAAGTTTTCGCAAATTATAAAAAAAATCAAATAAGAATTATGTTTACACACTAATCTTCCTTTTGTTATTTGAAAAGAGAAGATTAAAAGACAAAAAATTAAACCGGACATTTATATTCTAATTGGAAGCGAGAGAATCTCATAGCGACCTGACGAATTTATCTAAAGACCCTACAGCTGTTTCTCGAGCGTATTCTGCTGCATGCGGCGTATCGCATTTTAAGACGTATCTGATGTAAAGAAGGTGAATTTTTAGCATAGCGCATGGATAGTGACATTGGTGCAACAGCAGCATCAAATGCTCGACGGTAATCACCATCAGGGTCAGAAGGAGCAGGACAACGTGAATGGTACTGTTGAGTCTGCCGAGAGTCATGCGGTCGACAGGTTTCGCGGCGAGGCTGGATGTTCGGTGAAGGAAATCGCGGTCGTAGCTCCGGACAATGAAAGCGTTGGAGATTCCTCTACGCAGTGCAGTGACGTTATAGACGACGACAATGAAGAAGAGGAGATGGATGTCGAGGAAAGCGGCGCCGGCGGCTGGATCATGAATCCGCCGGTATCGACCATCGTCCAGCAGCATCAAGCGTTCGATACCACGAATGGTTACATCGCCCTTCCGAATCCCGATTCGTCGAATTTTAGTGACGTCCGCATGAAGGATTCGAGCAATGTGCATCTGGGTAATGAGGTCAACTACAATGGCCCGGTTACCATAAACCATGTCGTTTACACGAATCCTACTCCGAATCAAGATGCGATTGAACTTGACGTTATCCGCCCCTCCGACAATATCTCGGATTTGTCGACGAATAAGGACAACGGAGCTCCAAACGGATGCATTTTTCCGCAATATACTAAATTAAATAAAGGTAATAGTTAATCGTGCAACGCAACAGACCCGTTGCTTGTAGTTTTTCTATAATACATATACTTTTTTCTTTACGTAAGTATACCTAGATATATTTAAGCATAAAATCGCAGGATAACTAAAAAGAACAGATCCCTTATTAGTTTCTGGATCTTAGTTTAACAACAATTTTATATAAGATACAGTTTTATATAATAAACTAGCAAAGCGCGGGCTCAAAATCTATTCCCCTCTTCCCAAACTCACCCATTAATTAATAGAACCCCATAAAACCTCCAATTTTCAACCCCATAGTAGCCATCCCCATAAAATTAGTAATCTTTTGGTACCAGTTTCATCAAAATCATCAACAAAAAATTAGAAAAATTTTGGCACTGCAGGTTTCAAGAAAATTGATCCATTAATAAAAAATTATCCATTAATAAAAATTAAACTTATCCTCCAAAAATTACAAAAATGTTGGCACTGGTTTCAAAAAAATTGGTCAATTAATACTTATTATTTCTCGAAATTTGAATAATTTCCAAACAGGTTTCCAAAAAGATCGGTAACAAAAAATTATACACTTTATAGCACTCCGCGAAAAATTTTACCTCTATTTCATATACTTTTAGTAAAAATTTAATCCATTAATGAATGAGTAGTTCGCGGTCATACAGACAGAAGACGGTACTTATATATATAGATAATATATAGATAATAAATCGCGACCCACTAAATTGCATTATAGTGTAATTATGCTAATTGCTAAATATGCTATAAATTGAATATAAATAAATGTAAATATTTTTTATTGATATCATCGTAACAAGACATTACTCTAATGTCTTTCCTGATAAAGAAAATATACTTTCAACTCTTTCAAACTTATAGTTTGAAAACGTGTGTAATAAATATGTTGTGTATCTAAATATTAAAGAACGAATCAATATTCATCTTGAAAATTTTAAATATATTAGTAGAACGCAATGATTATACTTGCGGACACTGATTTTAATCTGATAAATTTAAAGACATCATAGAATCAAATTCTCTTTGTTTTATAGGTAAACATTTCGTGGTACATGTAAGCATACGTGCATGGGTACGTAATAAGCAACACAAAGTGTTGAAATGTTTACATATGAAACGAAGAGAATTTGATTTGGCTGGGTAGCCAGAAATTATTAGTCGAATCGACGTCAATTCGACGCATTGATAAATAGTCGATGTCAAATACTGACTGATCATATCTTTGTCATCTCCGATCTCATCATAGTTGTTTTTACGTCAATTAAACAATTGCGAATATTTTTGTAAGATTTCTATTGTCTTTCATCTGGCTCCACATCCAGATGACAAAAATATAAATCAGTATTCGAGAGAGACGTCAATCATTCATCGGTGTATTGACGTCGATTTGACTAATTATCTCTAGGTAGATAATACTGATAGTTCTGCTATAATAATGCGATAAGAATCAATGATATACAATCTTTATCTATTTTGAAGTAATTTCGATAATTTCTTCCTTTTAGTTCATGTCTAAAAGAAATTTATTTACAAACGTTGACCTGTTAGAGCAAGAAAGTTTTCGGAAAAATAGCCATTTCTTTTCTCGTACGTGAATTATGATAATGTTATCAGAGAACCATTCAGACTGGAACAATTTTTAAAAGTAATTTTAATGTCACAATAAATATCTCTAACTACTTCGACTAAAGGTCTTTTCACAACTATTCCAGAATATAGTTTTAATATCGACGATATTTTAGATTGAAAATTGTTACACTTTAGTTGCGCCACAAGAATTAAAGCTAAATATAAAAGAACTATTTTTATTTCACAGTATATATAAATATAGTATATATATATATATATATGTGTGTGTGTGTGTGTGTGTGTGTGTGTGTGTGTGTCACGCTGTCTGACATAGATTGACGAGATATTGCATGCCGCAAATTCTTTACTCGATTGTGAATAGAATAACGGAAAATTGATACCAAACAAGAATTATATAAGAATTATGCTTTACGTGAAATGGTTAATGTAATTATAAAACTCTTTCCGTATACATGTGCTACCCGTCATAATAATTGTGTACGAATTTTATCGAAAGGTATTAATAAGTAGCTCGTGAAACAAACGTTCTAATACAGTTTTTTATTATTATTCTAGTGACACAATGGCTCTGGACGTGGAAACGTGCGGTTTTATCGTGCGTTAAAACTTTAATACTTCTAGCTATTGTAGTGCCCATAACTGTACATTTTATTCATCAATTAGACGCATCGGTCTCCCCGGAAATTCCAACCTCATCGAACGAAGGTAATTAGACATCTAGAAAAATTTTCGTTTTACAAGCGCGACATGAAGCTATAACGTTATGTTATCCCGATTGTAAACTTAAAATCTGTATTTTGCAATGTAATATATTTATTCCATTTATTCGTCTACTTAAAAGCGCGCTTTTCTTTACTTTCCACGTGTCACATATCATATAGGGTCATATCATATCATGATAGGGTCATTTTTACCGTCGGTGCGACCAACAACAGGAACTACACGATCGCCACCGACTCCTGCACCAACACGTCCTTCTGGAACACCTTCTAGCACAAACACTTGCAAAGCACCTCCGCAACCGCAAAACGGTCGCTGGAAGTTACATCGATCGCAGTGCTCAGATGGACAGGACTGTAACGTTCCAGAAGGAACGGAACTGGGATTAGGATCTTATCTCGTCTACTCTTGTGATTCGGGATATAAAATAAGAGGTTCGCCCGACGTTAGCTGCAGTATCGGGGGAAAATGGCTTAATATACCAGTTTGCAGAGGTATTAAACTAGTAATTATATATTTTTAACTATTTTAAAATAAATAAATATGTAAAAATGATAAGCATTGCAAATCATAGAACTGAAATTTTTTAAAAAGAAAATAGAAGAGCGATAGATGCATTAAAGATTATTGTTATAAGATCCAAAAATGAAGGAAAAAGAACACATAGAATATTTCGAGTTTTACAAAGTGTCTGTACTATGGCATGAATAAATCTCAACGATAATAGGTAAACGATGCAATCTTACTCTATCATTTATTTATGATTTAATTTGATTTATCAAAAGAGCGATTATTTATTACATACAAATATGCAATTGTCCGTGATTTTTTCTCTTGTTATAATGTTTAAAACTTTTATTTTTAAATTTTTACAATTACAATGGCACCTTGTACATTGGCAACATAGTTGAAAGTTCGCAGAATTGCACGACGGCATCGACCACATGGATCTTCGAGAACGGCAATCGACGCGGACGACAAGCCTGTCCACATCAGCTCATCTTTGAGGACAACTTCGATAATCTCAATGCCACAAAATGGAATCAGTTGAATCGTTTTTCCGGCCCGCCGGTACGTATCGCCGACAAGTGTCCATTTATAAAAAACGGTTTTCATTAAACTGTTATGCTATTTTTGATGCTAGGATTATGAATTTGTCGTCTATATGACCAATGAAGTAACGGATACGAGCGATGGACGGCTGCGCATTAAACCGATCCTGCTTAATACTAAATACGGCACGAACTTTGTATTACGTGGAACATTAAAAATAGAAAAGTATGCGGATTATATGAATTAAGAAAGTAAAAGAGAGATTAAAGTCAAACTTAATTATATTCTTTTTTTAGTTGCACAGGCGAAATTGTTACAGAGGAGTGCTACCGCGTAGCCGCTGGCTTCTACATCTTGCCTCCTCTAATCTCTGGACGTATTAATACAAAGGGAAAATTTGAGTTTCTTTTCGGGCGTGTCGAAATAAGAGCCAAATTGCCACATGGCGATTGGGTGTATCCTGGTAAGTTTATCGCAACTTTTCCCTATCGATTTTTCTTGCAATTTTGATCATTGTAAGTACGTGTTTTGTAGTAATAACACTAGAGAGTGCCGAGAATAAATGGCAATGGGGACTGCATCACGAGATCAGGATTGCTTCCTCGGTGGGCAACGAAGAGCTAAGGACTCCCGAGGGTGAGACTGTCAGTGGTCATATATTGGCCGCGGGTGGACTGACCGTATTCTTAAATGAGAGTAACGCGCAGAGTAATAATCGCATGACGCTACCCAAAAGGCAGTCGGGCGAAACCTGGTCGGATTATTTCCATATCTACGAGATCGAATGGAAGAGCGGCCTCATTGTAGCAAAGGTTGACGGAGTGCAGTACGGCGAGCAAGCCGTCCACGGGTCGTTTGGAAAACCGGTATTGAAATTATATTATATTTTTCTTCGTTAACAGAGACTCTTGTACCATTTGCATAGTTTTACTAAATCTTGTAACAATGCTGAAAGTTTGATATCATTTATTGCGCAGTCATATTTGACTTTGGGCGTAGCTGTCGGAGGCATTCGCGAATTTGAAGATCACGTCACGAGCAACGGATATACCAAACCTTGGCGAAATGTCGAAGTGAAGGTATGTCACTGAATATTTAAGATGAAATTTCTTAAGAAACTTTTAGAGCTAAATATGTAAGAGATTTTAACAAATAAGTGCAATCAATACATTGTTCTTTACAGGCATTGTACAGATTCTATCTTGCGATAAATCACTGGCATCCCACATGGGACACAAGAACGGTGCTTCAAGTGGATTATGTGAAAGTGTGGGCATTGTAAATACTTTCGTCTCCATGAAACGATAAAATATCCGTATAACTACGTATATTTTTATTATCTTAGATTTTATACGCGTGTCTTTCTTGCAAACACGTACGTTTATCAATAAAGGCCGGAACACAATACAAAGGTACAGGCAATAGAAATAGAAAATAGCAACAGAATGTAGATTTTCAACCTATCAGAAGCCGCGTATCAATGCATTCCGTTGCTATATTCCCTGTTCCTATTGCTTGTACCTTTGTATTGTGTTCCGGCCTTAACGATCATTTAACTCACACATATTATACACAAAATAAATAATAACACAGACTGATTTGTACTTGATGATTATTTCTTATTTTAGAGTTCTGGCTATTCTACTACTAACTTAAGCTAACATAGTTTATAGTTCTATCGATTGTATTCGAGTGCATTCGCGCTGTTGCGGATCAAGTTATTACCACTTTTAAAGGAAGCTAGAGGTGGCATCAAAAATGTATTAGGGACAGGTTGCCTGTTCAGTCAAATGTCAGGACCAAGACCGTTTCTCAACTGTTCAATGAGCCACTCTCCGCAATATCCAAAGCGCCGTTGATACGTTCCCGCGGCACGTGGTCCATCCTCGGGTCTGAACTCGATGTTCATCGGTTCCTTTCCGGTACTTACGGACACGAGACGTAACACGTAACAGACTCGCGATACCGTTCTGGACCCATTCCTGGAGCTGCGGTCGACTGGGTCAGAATTTTGGGAAAATTGAAACATCGCAAACGACGATAAATCAAATGTCTTGATGGCATTCCGTGTCAACGTTCGATCGCCGCACCATGCGTTTGTCTACTCAAGATAATTATATTTCTGTTTTCATTAACAGGAAATTTAATAAATTCAGATTAATTCCATCAGTTTAATATATAATTAAATTGAAATTTTGCAGGATTGTTTACAAAAAATATAAAAATTACAGGGTAAAATTAAAATTCCTTAAATTGAATCAGAAAAGCAAGTGAATTGGTGCCTTTATACCTGCTTAATATAGATCATTTACCGCGCAAAGGATGATCGTTAAAAGTACTTTATTAACATGCATGACTTGCTGAAATGGCGCTCATTGCGGAAGCACCTGATGGAAAATAATGAACGACTGGCTCCATTCGGATTCCGTCCGGCTTTTATGCCCTCCTCTCCCGTACCCCATAGGAAATTCGTGATTTGCATGAAGTATCGATTCATGAATAACCGATTGTCATTCACGACAGTATCCAATGTAACTTTTTAAACTCTCGCGCGCCGTTAAGCTCGCGATCGAGTTTTTACTTTTACTTCCAGTATTACGATACACTGGCGAACATTTTCGTATAAGCACGCATTGGATTACTGAATAAGTTTCATAGAGTAGTCATTCGTTATATATAGTTTCATAGGGTCGATACCGTTCCTCGAGTAACAGTTTCATGCTCTCAGGGATTGTCAACGCATGGCAAATATGCGCGGAACAAGTCGGGGAAGATATACTTGCCAGGTAATAAATAAATATATTTATTTGCAACGAGAAAGTTCCCTCGTCTCTTTCAAATCTCAATAAAAGTTTCATTTTAACGCGAGTCTTTTAAAATCGTTTTAAAGTTAAATCTGATGATGCGCAGCTTTACAATTGCTTCTTTTCAATTTCATTTCTTTAGTAAGAGACCAAAAACTTGGTTAACTTCAACTGGGAAAAGAACGTTAAATTATTTTTATAAACAGAACATTTGTAAGCAGAGGCGAATTATAATAGAAAATACTCGTTGCTGTTCAAGGGTGACAGAGGAGGACCACTCGCCGTCTTTAACACGGACCATGAGTGCATGTACATCATAATCGGGGTCAGTCTTGAGCCACGACCTCTGCATCATATCTGACGTGTACCCGAGTCTACTATTACGTCTCCTGGATAGAGAGAACCGCGTGGCCGGAATACTTTTAACATATCGTTACTCATTTTAAATGTATCCATTTTAAATATTTTTAGTGACCTTAGCGGTATATGATTAAACAATGTACATGTAAAAGTATAAGGAAATTGAAGTTAATCTTCGTTCCGTGGACTCTTATGGCCGTTCGCCTGCGACTTTCGATCTCGCTCTATGGCTACGGTCAACGTGACGCTACAAATGCTTCGAAGCATTCCTCTTCTCTTTTCTTTCAATGAAGAAAAAAGAAGAAGAAGAACGCTTTAAAGGATTTGTAGCGTCACGTTGACCGTAGCCTATTTCTCTTGTTGTCAAAAAGAAACGCGAATGTACAAACTCACCTAAGGCGAATGCGCGCAAGTATAGGTAGAATTCCTGAGAACACTCGAGGCATTGATCCCTGGACGCGCAAGCGCCAACCGGTGTGTTTTTACCTACTTCCATCGCTCCCGGTCGTCAAAGAATCCGCGAAAGTCCGGAACGTACCGTGGTCGTCTATTTTCGTTTATCTGAAAAGGCGGCCGCCTCCTGCTGCTAGTCCCAGCCGAGGTAAGGAAACCGCACGCGAAGCGACCGGCCGCAGCACGTGTCTCGTGGCCAGGACAGATCGGGGCATTTGGCGTGGAAGAGCTCGCCGTTGAGTGCGAAGGACAATTTCTCCTCGGATAAGAGTGTTATTTTTGGTAGCAAAACTGGTTCTATATACGGCTTTAATTAAGACTATCGCGATGTCGGAGCCACGAGGTATACATGCGGTGTGACCATACATTGGTGCCTTTGTTGATGCATTGTAATTTGTAGCGACATAAGTCGATAAAACCAAATATTGTCACGAATATACCATTTTAATTATTTTAACATGATATAAGATTTTATATACCTTCCTCCTGAAACCAACAAAAGAACGTGAACAGAAATCTTGATATAATTTATATATTAATAATAAACTAATCTTTTTCTTCAATTAGCAAAATAAAAGATATATTTTTATTATATTATATAATTTTATTTTTATATTTCATATATATGTATAATTTAATCTATAGTCATCTGACTTTTCTATACAACTCTTATAACAACCTGATGATGTTTCATTTTCGGCAGGTAGAAGAACGGAAGAACGTTCGATGTCGGCTCTTCTAGATGTATGTGGAAATGATACCAGTTCGCCATCGATATCGAAGGATGATGATAATCACATGGGCCATGTGACAACTCGTCTCGCGTGGAAAATGTTGAACTATTTCGACATATATATTAGTCATTTATGCCTTCCAATACTCACATATATTTAATATACAATTTATCAACAATTTACTGCTTTAAAACCTTCTGAAGGTCATTCGGGATCACAACCTTGACAACATATATCAAGGTCATTGAAATCGGTGAGGTCGCCCTTAATCTAGACATTTACCAAATGAAGTTCACTCGATTCCACGGAAAAGACTAAAAACCGTCTGAAACAACGTTATCGCACACACATGCATGCCGCAGATATGTCGGTAACAGTTGTGGTTGAGGGAAAGAGTTAAAGAGTGGGGACAACGATTTCCGAGCACATTCGACAAGAAAACGCAACAGTAGTTTGTTTTATGTCGGATTGAACGGAGATAATGTCGCCATTACTCGTGCTTTGATTCCATCGGTAGTTCGTTCGTCAATGAGTGCTGAACAAGCGGCTTGCGATCGCAAAATCCATTCTTTTCAATAAGAACGAGTGTCGTGCACTTTCAAGACATATATACATATTCTCAGCATCGCTTTAAGTTTACGGTAGCTTAATTCATTTTAATACGCAGCAATGATATAGATTGAGATGCGACCACAGTGACCGCGGTGCCATCCACGTATGGTATCAGCACATGATTGCCAGGAATCCAAGGAGTTATTATTCAAATTAAATACGGGACCTATTATGCGAAAGGGATTATCGTGCAATTAGTGCACGCCTGCTCTCGTTCTCCGTTTTTCTGTTCTTCACCTCGCTTTGCTTCTCGCGAGCGAGAACGAGCGCCTTCCACGATTCCACTTCCAAGGCGCGTCTTTCAGTAGCCGTGTGACGTTATCGCTGAAGCCAGTATCTGTCTGACAGTGTCATAGGATCAATGAAAATAGCCGATAGTGACTTGAACCGAGTCCGTTCTTGTTCGGATTGTACTTTGTTCCCGCGGGACGGTGCATCCTCCAACTGCAGGTGGTACGTGTCAATGCGACGTGTTGAAAACCGTTAGGGCCAGATCAAGTAAAGTTTTCCTGCCCGCGGAGCGCTTTCCACAATGACAGCACCATGTCGTCATAGATCAATGGTGATTTTAGTGTTGACAAAGTGACCGCCGCCGGATGGTAATTTGTGCAAGGTAATCCTAAATATAAGTCAGTTAATCTTTTAATTTAGCGGATTGTTGCCGACCGGTTGCGTCAATTTAAAATATTAGGGTGCATTCAGGAATTACGCCCAGGCATACTTAAGTAATTCTAATGCTATAATATACGTGAGGTAAATTACAGCTTAGAGTTACCAAGGTTGAATTTCTCAACGCAGCCCTGATGTTCTCGAGCTTGTCTTTTATTTTACCTTCGAAGTTTTCACAAATTGTAAAAAAAATCAAATAAGAATTATGTTTACAAACTGATCTTTCTTTTGTTATTTGAAAAGAGAAGATTAAAAGACAAAAAATTAAACCGGACATTTATATTCTAATTGTGAGAGAATTTCGTAGCGACCTGACGAATTTATCTAAAGACCCTGCAGCTGTTTCTCGAGCGTATTCTGCTGCATGCGGTGTATCGCATTTTAACCCTTAACTAGCACACGTCCGCGATCGAACGTTATCTGCACACGGGGTGTTGTACACCCCACACACTTTGAACGTTGGGTACGGCGAAATGGAGGCTTGAAAAAAATCAAGTACATACATTAAACACTGGAAAATGATACCCATTAGCCTAAACTATGAAATTTTTAGTTTTAAAGCTCCAAAAAAATTCTTGAAATAAATTTGTTATGAAAAATGGCTTGTTTTGCTAAAAAAATCATATCTCAGTCAAAAATAAATATTTATTGATAAAAATTTAACACGATGTTCTTGAGATAGAGAACTTGACGAAATTCGTTTTGAGGTGTTTGACACCCCGCGTGCTAGTTAAGGGTTAATACGTATCTGATGTAAAGAAGGTGAATTTTTAGCATAGCGCATGGATAGCGACATTGGTGCAACAGCAACATTGGTACAACAGCAGCATCAAACGCTCGACGGTAATCACTATCAGGGTCAGAAGCAGCAGGACAACGTGAATGGTACTGTTGAGTCTGCCGAGGGTCATTCGGTCGACAGGTTTCGCGGCGAGGCTGGATGTTCGGTGAAGGAAATCGCGGTCGTAGCTC